CTACTTTAGTATTTTACTCTGTCTAACGCCAGACGATTTTACTCGTCAAGGGGAGAGCGCTGGCGCTTAATGGGTTAACTGGCCTATCTGCCCTTGTGTCTAGTTAACCCATTGAGTCGCATTGCACCCTGATGCACCCTACTTTAGTATTTTACTCTGTCTAACGCCAGATGATTTTACTCGTCAAAGGGAGAGGGCTGGCGCTTAATGGGTTAATAAATAAATAAAGCCCCGATGTGCTAAACTTTATTATTTTGCTCTGTCTAATGCTAGACTTCTCTTTACTTGTCAACTAAAGGAAGAGAGCAGCCACTCAGTTGGTTAATCGTTTAAATCAAGATGGATGTTGAGGCACAGGTAAAAATTAAGGGAGTCCAGGCATGGCAAAGCAGAAATGTGGGTAATTGCCATTCATTTTTGCCTGCAGGCATCTCAACTCCCCAACCCCTTTCAACTGCTGGCTAAGGTGGTACTGGTAACTAAGAAGTGATCATTCATTGAGACTTGAGAGAAGTACATTAGGATGTATCACATAATTGTGTGCTAGTGTGTTGAGTGTTGTAAGGGTGCCAGCCTTTCACTTTACACCGCAGCTTCTATCGAAATTTCGGGAGCAACTTTACCTGGCTGCTTTAGGGAATCCACAGTCCTGCACAGTTGATTAATTTGCTAAAAAATTGATTTCGACAACCTTATACCCTATCACCAAAATCTAACCCTAACCCCTATCTACAGTACTTGAAATCTGAAAATTAACCACCTGACAGCAGGTCACAAATTATGGTGTGATTAACTTGTGCTTTCAGATGACGGTGTGATTAACTTGTGCAAACCTGCCAAGTATTGTAAAATTTAGACAAATTTTGATTAACCCATTAAAGTGGCAGCACTCTCTTATTGACAAGTAAAATTGTTTCGCATTAGACAGAGTAAAATAATAAAGTAGGGCACATCATGAGTGTGCATTGCTACTTAAAAGATTAATATATGTACTGGTTTGTACTGATTGTTTCAGACATGATAGCAGGGCTACCTAATTTGTAACTAATTGCTGTTAAAAATTTACAATATTCAGCGGTAGCATCTAGAATAATTGCAAACGAAATTCTACACTCTACAGTGTAGCACAGTATACAAATTCCCCAACCAGCAATGTTTTTTTTTTTTTAATACCTATTTACACTCTTCAAGTTGTCAAGTAATAATGATTTGTCTATAATGTAATAAAATACAAATACAGTATATAATATTAAATGTTTTCCTATAATACAGTACATCTTAACTCAATAAAAGTTTCGCTACAATGATAATATACATGAAAAAAACCCCAACTAATTCTGATTGGGTAAGAGCAATGCAATTATTTTTGTGATATTGCACTGCGACTGTGTATAAATGTTTACTGACATGCAGGCAATGAAAACAATTCTTAAAACATAGTCATAGGTGTTGTCAATATTTTCATGTATATTATTATTAAGGAATAGCGTATCGTTTCTAATACAATTCTGAAAAATATATACA